CAGCTGCTAGATGAGATTCGTTTCAGAGACCGATGGAGAGAAGGCCCTGCAGTGTGACTGAAGTCACAGTGTGCTTCTTGCTACTGACTGCAAGAATAGTTTTCTCTGCCAAATGTCCACAAAGGTGACAGAAAGGAGTGAGGTCATGGGTGTTGCAGCATGAGAGCCACAGGTCACGGTGTATGCTGGGGTAGGACACTGCAGAAATGGAAGACAAAGCACAGCCCGTCTCAAGCCCGTTGTTTTCTCTCTCCTTCCCCTGCCTTCCCCCCGCCCGTAGGTATGAGCAGCCGAAATGTGACAACACGGCCAGGGCCCACCCAGCCAAAGCCCGGGACCTGTACAAGGGCCGCCAGCTACAAGGTGAGTAGCACCCACAAGTGTGGCCTGAATCCACAGGCTCCATCATGAAGTTTCTTGCAAATGTAGAATGAAAAAGAGTTTACCTGACCATTTCCCAGGCGGCCTGTCTGACTCTGGGGCCTCCTGCCTCCTTGCAGAGGGCGCTGAGTCCATGCAGGGAGACAGGGGTCCAGGAGCCACACCGGGAGCACCTGAGGGGCTCCTCCCTGCTGCTGTGTATGGAAGGTCAGACACGGAAGAGAAAGGACCCCTCACAAATCAGATCACACAGCACCCCAACATCTCCAGATGTTCCCGAACCCCACAGCCCAAAGAACCCTTTATTGATTCTACCTACGTTTCACTGTCATTTTCTGACATTCCTTTTGCATTGAATCAACAGTTCATGAAGCTAAAGTTTAGGTTTTAAGAAAACATGAGTTGAATGTATGTATTGAGTTTAATTACAAAGAAATATTGGAATGAAACAGAGGTGAATTAAAATTTACAATAATTGAAAAATGCGGTCAAAAACAGTCGTCATGGGGTGAATTTGATATCATTGAGAAGCTTCAGAGCTACTTGCCGTTTGTTTCATTTTGACCTTTTTTTCTCTGAATATCTCTAGATCGTGTATGTTTAACCAACGTCTCAGAGACATGAAAATCACACTACCGTGTACTTTGTTTAGAGTGCGTGCTTGATCTTGGTCTCTTGCAGAAACTGGATGAATTCCTGATTAGTAAATTTTTGTGGTTCCTGTACTGTTTGTACTGTCATTGATAGAAAGGGTTTTAAATTGTAAAAAGTAAAGATGTTCGGTTTGTAAATGAGGACAGAGGAGAGCAGAATATCCACAGTGTATACATTTTTCATTGCTATGTGTTCATAACGATTCCACAACATTAGTAACGAAAATGCTTGACACGGGGAAGCAGAGGGCGGAACGTGGTCCCGGGGACACGCAGCGCGGCTGTTCTGCCAGCCCTTGGTAAACACCACGCTGTTGACTGACTTGGCTTGTTCGGAGCTGTCTTTGTCTCAGTTCTTCATGGTTTCCCAGCTGTGTACCTCCCCCGTGTCTTCCTTGTGAGGCAGGTTTGAGGAATCTGTTGGTTCTACTATTTTTTTTTTTTTTAATCAGAGTATGGTCCTTGTGTGAGCAATCAACTTGCTTTCTGTTGAACCAATCAGCTTCTTTCTGGATCTTGCAGGTGAGGGTGGGGGAAGAGATCATGACGGTGTGAACACGACACCCGTCCATGCACACGCCTAGCGGAGGGCGTTTTGCCTTTGACACCGTGTCTGCAGGCTGTGCTCAGCTGCTGGCTGAATTCCATCCCCCTGATGGCTCTGTCAGGAGGGAGTTCTCCTCCTCCCTTATCTGGTGTAATCTCTTGTCTCTGAAGTCCGAGTTTAATATTGGTGGGCAAGATGTTTCCTTAAAAGACGTAATGAACTTCTCACGTGCTTGCTGCATGGAAAGCCCTCAACAAACATTTGCTGGTTTTGGTTGGTCTTGACCTTGTCACATAAACTTCAGTCTGTCTCTTGCCCCTAGGGTACTTCTTGAATGGTCCAAGACTCTTAACTTATTTTTTTTTTCTATAACACAAAGTTGCATGACTTCTAAGCCAAGCTGCACTGTGGTCTTCACACACGTGGTACGAGTGCAATTTATGGAAGTCACGTTGTGCTTCTCATTGGTAAAAGGGACCACAACAGGGGATGGCTTCTGCTGCCTCTCAGGAGTGCACGTGGTAGGAAGACCTTTTCACGGTGGAATCGAATCTGTTACACTCCAGACCCAGACTACTGATGTAAAGATGACACAGTCGTTTGTCCAGTGAGAACAACTGGTCCCTGATATTGAGAAACATGGAATGATGTCATTGTCTTCTCTGAGTGTCAGACGTGCCATTTGGAGAGAGAGCATCCCACACTGTGAGGATGGGCACGTCAGGGCTGCAGAAACCACGCTCCTCTCTGCTAAGACGGGAGGAGAAGGATGGTTAGATGCTCACAACAAAGACGGCGTTTCCTTGCCTGCACCTCAAACAAAAACCAGGTTGCTGAGGCACCGAAGCCGCGTGACGCAGACTGTGCAAAGGTCAGCTTGTGCTGTTGCTGTGATGTTTGGGAGTGCGCTGTTCCTGACCACTTAATTATTTTGATTATTTGGAGATAATTATCCTTATTAGGAAAAAACAAGTAGGTCTTAAAATAGCTCCAGGATAGAGGCTGTTCCTGGTAGAGAGGAGAAACCTATTTCCAAAATAACATGACAACATCTGAGTAGAAAGATCCTTCAAGTCCCATGTAGGCTGACATATTTTCTTCTTAAAAGGTACTGTTTTCTTTTGAAGTTGCTTTTCTAAGGTTTTGCCAATGGAGGTCCTTTATTTTCCATGTAAAGCTGATAATATTTTCACACAAAATTCACTTATGTGGGGTGAGCCGTGTATGTGTCACCAAATACTTATTCACATCTTATGTAGGACACTTAGCAGGTGTTTGGCAGCAAATGACCACTGAATCTTTGGAGGGCATCATTTTATTATGTGGCACAGGAGATCAAGGTCTGGCTTAAGAGGCTACATAGTGAGGACTGGGGCACCGTTTCGGCTTTTGAAGATTCTTTCATTGGTAGGTTTCCTCCTGGGACTATTGCGTCCTCTGTAGCAGAAATTCTAAAAAGAGGCACAAAACCACACCTTCCTAACCACACCTTAAACTGCACCTTCATAAACCACACCTTCCTGCACCAGATCTTCTTAAACCAGACCTTTTTAAAAACCACACCTTCTTCTTGGACAAGTTCACCTACCTTTATCTTGCCCTGGCATCTCTGATCACACTCTGGTTGGGGTTTTAAATAACAGGGTTACTCTGTCTCTCCAGCCTCCCCAGCCCCCTGACATCCTCCCAGGTCCTCTTGTGAGGCTGGAGAACCACACACTTGCATTGAGCTGTGGTTCCTGTGTTGGGGCCGTGGTGTGTCTCTTGGGCCCTGCCATGGCTCCCTTGTCCGTGCCCCACCATGGCTCCTGTGTCCAGGACCCACTGTGGCTCCCGCGTCCGGCCCCGCTGTAGTTCCTGTGTCCAAGACCCACGGTGGCTCCCGTGTCAGGCCCAGCTGTGGCTCTCTTGTCAGGTCCTGCTGTGGCTCCCGTGTCTGGGCTCCACCATGGCTCCCGTGTCTGAGCCTTGCAGGAATTCTTCCCTCTGCTTGAGCTGCATCTCTCTTAGCCCGTATGGCTCCCAGGCATCCTTCAGGATGACTTCCTTGGGATGCCCAGGTGGCCGGCCACTCACATGCACCTGTCCAGCGTGTTCCCACCTGGTGGGGCACATTGTGTGGTGTGGGGGTGGACTTGCACGCTCTGCCCGGTGCCTCACAGGGTCCCTGGGGAGGTAGAGACTGCATCTCTGTGTTTCCGGCATCTGCGAGGTGGGAACGAAGGATGTAGGTGGTTTTCTTTTCCTACGAGAAGACCTTTTCGGCTAATCTGTACTGAGTGATATTGGTAAGCTTTGACTTACTAGCCAGGTGGTTTTGCTTATCTAGGGCCCTGCAGCACTGGTCTTGAATGGGCTTCCCAGTGTGGGGAGAGGATGACCTGAGCCTTTACTTGAAGAGTGTCACTGGGTTCGTGATCTCCATCACGGGGAGAGGGTGACCCCAGCCTTTACTCAAACAGCAGCGCTGGGTTTGTGATCTCTGTCAGGGGAGAGGGTGACCCCAGCTTTTACTCAAACAGCAGCGCTGGGTTCGTGATCTCCATCCGGGGAGAGGGTGACCCCAGCCTTTACTCAAACAGCAGCGCTGGGTTCATGATCTCCATCCGGGGAGACGGTGACTGGAGCCTTTACTCAAATAGCAGCGCTGGGTTCGTGATCTCATCCGGGGAGAGGGTGACCCCAGCCTTTACTCAAACAGCAGCGCTGGGTTCATGATCTCCATCCGGGGAGAGGGTGACTGGAGCCTTTACTCAAACAGCAGCGCTGGGTTCGTGACCTCCGTCAGTCCTCAGGGCCCCTCTTGCTGAGTGAGAGGGGAAAGAGCCAGCACAGCCCCTTGCTTGCTTTAGCTGCGGCGCCAGCTGCATTTGTGATTCAGGCTCGTAGGCCCTCGGTGTGGCAAGGCAAAAGGCCATTGGCATGACCTTCGCAGAGAGGAGATGCAGGCGAAAGACAGAGGCGCAGGGAGATGCACCTGTCCAGAGCAGAGCGGGCCGAGTCGCCGGTGGGTTCAGGGCAGGAGCATCCGCCGAGGGGAGTTGGCTCAAAAACTTACAATGGAGACTTTGATCTAAAGTGAAGTCAAAATAAGTGATTTCATGGCCTTCCTCTCACGTTTCCTGATCATGCAATTGTGTCTTTCACCCTCGGATGTGGTTTTTCTGGCTGACTCTCATTCTCAGGAGCAGTCTTAGTCGAATGAGCAGACTGGCTTTCCTGTGGGTGTTGCTTCGTTTCGGTCTACACTGGCGGGGAACACCCCCGTTTTCCTGATCATGACGAACTGCGCTGCGTGCAGTCTGATCTCACTCTCAGGCACTGTGGTCCTTCCCCGAAGGCAGCACAGGAGCTGGGCCCTGGGGGTCAGGAAGGTGCAGGGGAAGTCTGACATCTTCTGGGAGCCGTTCCTTCCTCCACCAGCTCAGGGGAAAACTGCACTGTCTTTCTGTGGGTGTCCTGGTGGTGGTGGTTCAGCAATGGCACCAGAGTGAGGACAGAGGGGGTGGCATAAGGAGCCCCTCAGGGAGCCTGGGCACCCTGGGCATGGCCCCTCTGTTACTGCCGTCGCCCAAGCCAGGGTCCTCTCCTGGGTCCGCAGAGCTTCTCCACCTGGCACGCAGTCTAGGAAATGGTCTTTATTTTGATCAAACAGCCTCTCACCCAAGTGTCTCTGGAAGCTCTGTGGACACAGCAGCCTTCATGAATGGTCAAGTCCTCTCCCTAAAGGGCACGGCACAGGGCGTCTTCACATCTACAGCCAGGAGCATCTCTTTTCTTGG